CCTGCTCTTGGTGCCCCTGCTTCGGCAGGAGGGTTGGACTAGATGACCCACAGAGGTCCCTTCCAACCCCTACTATTCTGTGATTCTGTGACTCAGAAACCCTCAGGAAAGCATCCTCACGAGCGCACCTTGAGCTTTATGTGCTTCAGATCAGAACGTCTGAGGCGCAGAGCCCAAAATCTGGCTCCCGGTGCGTCCCCCCCCGCGGCTGCTCCCCCAGCCCAGGCAGCCCAGAGGGTCCCGGCTCGCTCTGCGCTCCTGCCCGCGCAGCAATGCCATCCCTTCGCACCTCTGCCTCGCCGCTGCCAGGGCGGCTTGGCTCTGATCTGAACGACTGACAGGCTTTTCTTCTGCTCCTTTGAGACCTGGGAAATCTTGGTCAGAACTCGGTAGCGCTGAAAACGTTTGATACCCTGTTACGGGCCAGGGAGATGCAAGGAACTCTTCTCATGTCCATTTTCAGCAGAGAGAATGCAGACCAGCTTGCCCCGAGAGCAGAATCGTGAGGATGGGCAGGGAAAACAGCATTACCGCAGAAATCTGGATTAATAACCTGAGCCTGCTCTGCTGCTGCAAACAGCTACTCGAGGCTGTATTACAGAGGGCACTCGAAGTGCCGCCCACGTAAGGCGATTCTGAAAAGGACCAAGCAATACGCTGCCACTAACGTTGTAAGTGTAATAATCTTGTCCTCCTTTGTACAGCAGTGCTCATTGAAATACTACATAAAAACCAGGGATTCTTATTAGTAGTATTTAAAGAGGAAACAAAGCTGTTGCCTGTGTTAACGAGTAGGGATGTCCAGGACCGGAGGGGAAGTGTTGGGGACGAAGCACAGGGACAAGTCCAGCAACAGCAGGATGAAACCCATCAGCGAGCAAACGCCAGGGCGTCCCTGGGGCCGTGGAGCACAGGCTTCGAAGGCTCCAGCAAGAGCCCAGTAAGCACTGGGATGGCCCCAGCACCACCGCTGTGGGCTGAGCTCTGTGGCAGAGCCGCGGCCATTGCCTTGCTGCGGGCAGCTGCATCACCCCTGCCACCTCTACACCC